TAGAACTGAGGTGCATAATTCAGAAAGGCCCAGCCTTTCCTTCTCCTCGCCTGCAGTTGTCATCACAAGCATTCCCGGCCATGGTGTGAGAGTCGGCCCCCTCCACCTTAGTGGAGTTAGGAAGGAGATGGGGATAAAGGAACAGAAACTTCTTTATTCTTCCATTTTAGACTCTTTTTAGCCCATAGGACTTAAGCGTAAGGCCCAATATCAATTAAAAGTCACAGGTTATCACAAGAGTCCACCCACCACATCCTCTTTGTCTTCTGGGGACCAGTCTGCTGTGTGGTCCAGCTCTTGCTTTCAGAAATAGGTCAGAAGACAACTCTTTCAGTTAACTCAATGGACATGGTAGATTAACCTGGAAAGATTTTTCTCCATCCTATTACCTCATGTTCTAGCTCACTCAAGGGCTGGCCCATGAACATTGTATGTCATCTCTTTGGAAATCGTTACAATGTCAGCAGTATTTAAATGACAAGTATTTGAACCTCTCCCATTTATTCCTAAACGTAATTAAAACCATTGTCTCCTGAGTTTCCTCTCATCTATACCAGTTTCTCAGTCTTTCCTTTTACACTTTACACTTCTGAAGAGTTCTGGCTAGGTATTTGTATAATGCTTTTCAGTTTTGGGTTCTGTAACTTTCCTCATCATTAGACTGTCATTATAGCTCTTGAGGAAGAATCCCATGAGATGAAGTACCCTTCTCATCACATCATATAGGGAACACATGGTATCATCATGACTTGCACTGATGATGTTAACCTTGATTACTTGGTTAAGGTAGTGTTTGTCAGGTTTCTTTCCTTTAAAGTTATTGATTTCCCCTTTCCGTACTGTAACCTTTGGAAGCAAGTCACTAAGTCTAGCCACACAAGGAGCAGGGAGAACATTAAGCTCCACCTTCTAGCAGGTAGGGGTAGGAGAACTATCTACATATGTTACGTGGAATTTTTCTGTAAGGAAAATTTATCCTCTTTCCCCCATTTATTTGCTATTCAATCATTTGTTTTCAACAATATGGACTCATGTATTTATTTTATACTTCAGGTTATAATTCAATACTACTTTGTTTATTTTGTTGCTTGAATTATTCCAGCTTTGGCCATGGGGGTTCTTTCTTGTTGGCTGCTGTTTCTCTTTGTCATCCTCTCATCCTTTTTTCAGCACTTCCTTACTTTTTTATGCTACATGTCATGTCTCTGCTGACATTTTCAGGAAACTGCTCTTTCTACCAAATTCTGAAAGGTATTTAATGGCAGGTCATATATGAACATCAGTTATGGGAAGTCTGATTTGTGCTCACATACCTTGGCTCAAAAGCGATTTATTTGTCCATACTCATGCACCTAAGAAAGAAAAAAAATGACCTCACATTTTTGTTGGCAAATATATCCACAATACAGGGGCAGGGATGTGCCTAAATATCACTTATATCTCAATTTAAAGATTATGACGAGCCTGAACCAGCAGTTTTTGACTAGCAACATGACATGCCCGAAGTTTAGAGCAAATGAAAGATGGCTTGCTTTGAAAATAGGTTTGGCAATATACTGTGTACCTCTGTGTGGCTCACACATGAAAAGTTAGTCTAGATAAGCAGATTTATTAGGAGTCAGAGTTTGTCAGTTACACAGACCAAGTTTCAATATTCGTGTGACAAAAAGTTAATGCCCAGAACAAAGTCATCTGCTGAAGGCTGATTGAACTTGTGAGAGATATAAAGTCTATATAAAGCTTAGCTTCTGCCCCCAAGCACAGGGAGACAAGATATTATAGGTGGGACAGTAATAATCTCTATGAGGCTGCAATATCCAGCGAATGGCAGGAAGGGCTTATTCAGCTCATAAGAGGCAGTGCCAGACTTTTGTGGAAGGCTCCCTGGCTGGCATGGCCTTGGAGCAGACACTTGAAACACAAGTTGGAGGGAAGTGATTCCATGAAACTTGAAAATACCTCCAATGGCCATGACATAGAGCAGTCCCTGCTCCCTCTGGGGAGAGCAGTGTCTGGGGAAATATGCTGGGAAGCAGAGTGAACATCTATTTCAACCTTCACTGAGCTCAAGTTAAACTTTTCTTCCCAAGTTGTTTTAATTGGCTTGCAAAGAGCTGGCCCCTAGTGGCTAATCAGTGCTAGATGGAAGTTGCCTATGGGGAAGAGGAGATGGTGCCTTCTGGGAGTCCCAGAGGCAGAGAGGAGACTCCTGGCACAGGCCTGGTCTTGCCAACTTAGACCCTGGAGGGTGAATTCCCAGACACAATCCTGATTTCCCAGCTGTCCCCAGGGAGGACTCTGCCAGCCTGGCACTGCTCTGCTTCTAGGGGGAGAGGGCACTAGAGGCCCCACATGATGGTGAACTTTAATTAATGACCAGTTCATGTCCTGTGAGTGCCTCACGTGCAGGAAACCACAACAAAGGCTGATTCTACCTGGCCCCTTAGTAAACTCCTTTCCCTAGCTCCCTATAGTCTCCTTATATAGTTGGCCCATGAGAAGTAATGCAGGGAGCCAGTGAAGATGCAGTAGAAGGGGGTCCCCAGAGGTAGGAGAATTAAAGATCTGAGGCTGTGGTAGAATTAACCAGTACATAACCTCTCACACCATGGCCAGTCTAACCAAGACAGAGGCCTCTCCTCTTTCTGCTCATACCACACTGCTGACCTTTTAGAGATTTCTTTTCCCCTTTCAGCCACAACTTTCTGAATGGTGAACTATGACTTCTCCCCTGAGGTGAATTCGTAGGGACCATGTGGATAGAGTGATTTTCCCTTTGATTCTGTGCCCTCTAGTAAGTTCACTGACTTCCCTCTATCTTCATCTACCTTCTCACCCCATCTTTTGACTGAGAGTTGAGGGAGAGAGGAATTGAGCAATAAAACTATACCCTAAATTATGGCTCTTTCCATTCAACTCCGCTGCCTCTTTGTGTCTTAGAATTCAGTGAAATCTTTCCATGTTCTGGAGGAAGATTGTCAGTACTCTAGTTGCCTAGATTTAAAATTTTACAGCTCTGATTTTTTCTGTCTAGGAATGTTCACTTCCTGGTTTCCCATTACACTTGTCTACCACATCATCAATGATTTTTCAATTCATGATTATCTGGGATGAACAAAAACTCTACTGAGCATTGTAGGGGATATGCCCATGCATAATCTATGGTGCTTTCTCAAAATGAGTGTGTAATAGAATAATGGAATGAGGCATATATGCAGAAATGGGTAATGCAAGGAAGAATATGATGAGACCAAAATGAGTCATATGACTTTAAACACCAACATTATTCCATGTTATTATATCTCAAACATTTGCACTAAACTTCTAAAATAAAACTCACAGTTCATAAGAATACATCAAGTTTATCACATCTATTCAGGTTCCCACTGGCACCAACATACATTTGGGAGTTCGTGTTCTACATTCCGAGAAGCACCATGTTGTGTGCTCGATACATGTCTGTGGGACATGATAGTAAAGGACTTAAGGGAAATGCACAATTATTAAAGTCTTAAAAAAATCAAGGGAGTCTTTCAGAAGAGAATGAACAAAGGAAAGAGGAAGAGAATTAGGAGAGACAAGTTACAAACAAATGAATGTGTGAGTTGATGACAAATAAAAATGTAAGTATAGCTCGAGGCCAAATCATATTAGGCATTGAATTTGAAGGTAACATTTGGATTTATCCTGGCCTCTTCAATATTTACTATAAGTATTGGCTGACAGTATACAACCACCAATTTAGGAAGATTAAACTCATCCTGTTTGCAGGATAGATATGTGTAGGGAGAGACAGGAGGCAGTCAGATTCAGCATAAGGCTGTTGCTGTGGTCAAGGTAAGAACTGATCACTGTTAGGACCAAGTCAGAAAGGAGCTGATGGTAAGGTCAATGAGTACTGATTAGCCATGAGAGTGGAGAAGGCAGTGAAGAGTGGAGAAGGGAGAGGCAAGAAGACCAGTGAGGGAAGGGGTATTGAAGACTGACCACTAGAGATTTAGGTGAGTGCTCTTTGGGCTCCAAGAAAGAGGAGGTGGGAACTGGCCTTGTGGACTCTTATCCCTCAGGTGTAGAGTAGGAGAAGAGGCTTGGACTCCTGGATGCTTGACCCCATAGAATGCAACAAACTCTGGACGTGGAATCAGAAGTCTGGGTTCCAATCCAAATCCTATAATTAATTCATGTTTTCATGTCCCTCAGATGCTATAGTAATTCTGGACACTTCAGCTTTGAGGGAACCTCTGGTTCTCCTAGCCCATCTAAACTCGAAGGGATACCAAGAGTTCCATGAGGAAATCTAGCTACTATCAGAAGCTTCTTGATACTCATCCCAGATACTCATCCATGATACCCACGGTGAGCAACAAAGCACCAAAATGTTAGAATGGTGGTGCGGGGAGATGAGTGGTGTAGGAGTAGAGTTCTGAGCTTTGAGAGGTGGGGGAAGGGACTTGAGCCTAGGATGGAGGAAAAATTACCTAACGTAGTAATGACCAAAGACCCTGAGAGTAGACAGGACCATTCTATAACCAATAATTACTGGTTGTACAGCCCTGGGCAAGTTAATATTTCTGGGACTCAGTAAATTGAGGTTAATTTCAGAATCTCCTAATGTGAGACAGTAGAGGGTAGTTGACTCTGAGGAGAACCAGACCTAAAATGCTCTGAAATTCCCAGACCATCGTGATGGCCACTGTCTTACAAGGTTTGCTGGACCCATCCCAAAAAATGTATCCATATATGTCATGTCTTAAATGTTTGTTGTCTATAAAATGAGTGTTTTAGAATCAGCCCTTTTTGTAGATAACAAATTAATGGATTTACAACTTATGAGCACCTACCAGCCTCATATTTAAAAGCATGATCATGATCACATGTCATTAGTTAGGGGAAATAGTCATGGGTGAGTTTTGCACCTATCTGGGCCTCAGGGTCTCTGTTTGTAAAATGAAAAAATGTATGATTTCCAAGAGGCCACTCAGCTCTATATTTTTCTAATTCTAGAATCTGAGAATTAATTTCCTTAGGGCTCTCTTCATGTCACAATTTCTTAGGCTATAGATGAAGGGATTCACCAGAGGAGTCACCACTGTGAAGATGACAGTGGCCACCATGTCCTGGACTGAGTAGGAGGATGAAGGGTGCATATAGACTCCCAGAATTGCCCCGTAGAAGAGGGAGACCACAGTGAGGTGGGATCCACATGTGGACAGGGCTTTTCTTATTCCATGGGGAGAGGGTAACTTCAGTACATTAGAGATGTAAACATATGAAATCATGATACATGTAAATGGTGTCAGAAATACCAGTCCACCCACAGTGAATACCATTAGGTCATTGATAAAGGTATTAGAACAAGAGAGCTTGAGAATGGGGTAAGGGTCACAGAAGAAATGGTGAACAGCATTGTTGGAACAAAACATGAGTTGGACCATGAGAAGAGTGTGTAGGAGAGCATGCAGGTTTGTGATGACCCAAGATGCAGCCACCAGAAGGACACAGAGTTTGGGCCTCATGATCATGGTGTAGTGGAGTGGGCAACAGATGGCAGTGTAACGGTCATAGGCCATCACACTCAGGAGGAACCCATCCATGTTGATGAAAGTGATGAAGAAGTAGATCTGGATCATACATTCCACGTAAGAGATAGACTTGCTTCCCAATATGTGATTCAGCAGCATCTTGGGGATTGTGACTGAAGAAAAGCAGATGTCAACCCAGGAGAGGTTGGCCAAGAAGAAGTACATGGGTGTATGGAGATGACTGTCATAGCTGATGGCCAAGATGATGAGAAAGTTCCCCATGATGATGACCAGGTACATCCACAAGAAGAGCCCAAAGAGGAGCTCTTCCTGCTCAGACTGCCCAGAGAGTCCCAGGAGAAGGAATTCTGTGACTCTGGTCTTGTTGTCTCTGTACATGTCTACAGGGAAGAAAATGTGATCAAAAGTAAAAGGAAAGATTTAATTAATTGGGCTCCATCTATTGTTTAGAGATTGTAATTTTTTAATGATACTAGATCCAAAGTTTATCTCTTAATTAATATCACTTCAAGTATAAAATTAGATGAGACTGGTAATAATATGTCATCATTTAAGCAAATTTTTTATGATACTGTTTTTGTCATTGTTTAGGAATTAACTCACATTAGATAATTCTTTGGAGTTAGTTTTACTGAAATAAATAGCTAGTTAATTTCTATAATTTTAATTACATTTAATTATCTTTGATTACATACACCTTAATTCATACTTCACTGACATTTAGTGAAGATCTGGTATGTACAAAGTATTTTCACATACACTGTTTCTTTTTATCCTTCGAATGATGAATTCCATCCTTTACAGGTGAGGATACTGAGAAGTGGAATCAGAGATGAAGCAACTGAGATTCAGAGAGATTAGGGATGACAGGTGAGATTGGCAGAACCCATAACATTTACAGTCCTGAAACAGCTAAGATGCCCTTTTCTTTACATTCCTCCCTAGCTTTACCTCCAAATTTTGATTAGCTGCCATTTATTGAGGATATAAGCAAGTGCCGGGCACTGTACTCCTGCTTTACATTCATTTTCTCATCTTATCCTTACTAAAACCCGTAAGTTTTAGAAGTAACAACCTTCATTAAGCAGAAGGAAAAAATGAAGCAAGGAGATTTAGCTATTTGTTCAAGGTCATAAGTTCTTTTACCCGAATAAAATGCCAGTTTATACAACTCACTCAAATTCATTCTGGGTGTCTCTTACATTTTCCCAGGATTATACTACTTTTAGGCTTTGAAGGATCTGCCTGGTGGTTTGTCATAAACCTTTTGACTGCAGACCATCAGAATGTCCATGCAGTACCTCACAACTGTTGGCTTGTATGAGCTAAGCATGCTTGTGAGGTTGCTATGTGCAGGATTCTGCAAAGAGACTTCTTTTCTCCCTTTTGCTAGGCAAAATAAGTTCAGTTACATGTGGTACTTGATATTATTTTTGAAGAAGAAGAGATTCATAGAGACAGTAAAATTATGGGGTGTATCCAAGTGATAATTCCAGCATTAAGAAATCAATACAGGCAGGAAGAGTCAGATAAAGCAATGTGGATGCGATAGCCATGGAAGCATTCACAGTACCTGGATAGTAGAGAGGAGAAGAGATGGCATTTCTGGTAAGAACTAAGGCCTGGGGTAAACAGGAGGAGGAAAGGGAGGAGACAGACAGGTTAAGTGGCTTGACTGGCTGAAGCAGAGGATGTTACAGGCAATATTTCTAGGATATTGATCATAGGATGTATGTAATATGGTGATAATGAAGTATCCTAGCATTTTGAGAGTTAAATTAGTAAAAAACTAATGTAAAATTCTGAAATGTGAAGTCATTTTCTCATAAATTATATCACAGAATTAAAAGGGGCAAAGGTAGTACTAGGCTGTAGCCAGAGCTGTTGAGAGAAGGTGCCCCAGGGAAAGGATGATTAACGTGGAATGTAAGAGTTGGGGGCATGGGTTGCATCAAGGGAAACCAAAAGCAATATCTGTGCAGCCTTTTTCATTGTGCCCTGATGACAGATGTGAATATTCTGGTCTTAATGGCAGGCTGTTTCCATAATAAAAATGGTAGTAAAAAGTGAAAGAGATATAGCAGGATGGCAGTAGGTTTTTCCTATTATCTGGGAACTGTGAATAAGGCCAAAAATAGGTCACTAGGCTCTAAATAACCCAAACTCTATGTTGAGAGAGCTGCCAGCATTAAGGTTAGCCACATCCTGTCAATGTTTGCTGGAATAATCCTACCAGGAGCACAATCAACAGTGCCCCCAATCCCCAAGTGAGTATGGTGGGAGGACTGGGAAGTGAAAGAGCAGTCATTCTGGACAAAGTCTGTTGCCCTCTCATCACTCCCCTTGGGAGAGGGGAGTGGGCTTCCTGATCCCCAAATCTGAGGGAGAAGAGCTCCAAGAATATCACTTCAAAGATTGGAGATGCTTGCATGATGGGGAGATCATCAGTTGGTTTCTTTGCTTAGCTAACAATCTTGTTGATCAGCCCTTGTTTTCTCTGAGCAGGGAAGAGAAAATAGGTAGAGATGGTAGAGCTGAGAGTGGGCCGGTAGAGAAGCTACCTGTGTGCTTGCTGTTTGCCATCACAATGGTGTGTGAGTTTCCTGTTTGCTGAGTGGCCCGTGTGGAAGACAATTGACTTGGGACATCTTGGCAATACTCAAGGCAAAAGTGGTGCCTGTAGGAAAGGGGATCCCTTCAATAAGACACTGCAGCATAAACTCCATTTGGGTGGGACTTTCAGGGGAATTAGAGAGGTTGAGAGCTGGATCTCCCACCACTGACACCCTCTGGAGGTTCCCAGAGAATCCTCTGTGAAGAACCCACAGAGCTGAGCCCATAAGAGAGCCAGCTTTTGACTTTCTGCCACGGTGGGTGACAGCCAGAAAAGCAGCACACACCAAACAGGAGAACGCCAGCTCCTTATGTCATCAGGGAGATAACACCTTCTGGATTCCCTCTCTCTCTTTCTTGCTCCAGCTCAGGAAGAGTTAGTTTGAGAAGAGTGAAGGGGAAGAGATGCCTGAGACTAAAACCACATCCACCACCTCTCCCCGGCCCCACCACTACTCCAAACCAAGAAACATTGTGGGAGAGTGGAACACAAGAGACTGAAATTTTAGAATGTTTTTGATTACTGAATAAGTGTGATTTTTATAATATACAATGGCTTAAAATGATGGAATCTGGTCAGGATGTTTTTATGAGAGCTACTAACAGAAGATCAGTTACTAAAGAACAAATACTATCATTTCACGGGGTTTCGTTAAACCTCAACAAGTTGAGATTACACAGTGAATAGGTCATATACTAGATTCCTCTTACTCTGATTAGATATTCACTACCCATCTTGAAATTTTAATTCAACTTCCCAGGAATCTTCCTCATAGGGAGAGAGTGCTCTTACCAGTCCCCTTGGAATAACCTTTATTTTGTATAACTTAAATATGTTGATGTCTGGTTTCATGTATTAATCTCTTGTGACTCTTGTTAGTGTGTGACTGTCTCTGAGACATCTGACATATCTGCAGCACTGAGCATTTGTTCCTGCACCTTACACTGGGGCTGCTTAATGCCTGGACCCCGGCCCAAGCCAACTACCCTCTGTGGGGCTCCATGTGGCATCCAGGTATCCTCCCTCTGAGATACCTCTATTATGTGGTCACAGGCCACAGTGGATGAACATAGGGAAGCAACTACAAAAAGGTGATTAGGGCAGAATAGGAGGGTCTTGAATGTCTGAAAGAGAGTCTCTTTTGTGGGGAGGGAGGGCAGCTCTAGGTTCTGAGCCTCTGGCCAGGGTTTTTAGGAGCCTGTAGTCGCTGATCCTAGCACCACTAACCTTAGTTATCTCCATCCTTTCCCACTCATACTTTTCTATTTCCATCTTGAAAGTGCACTTGCTGTGTCCTGCAACGGTCAGCACATCCTGAAACAGGAAAGGCTTGTACATGTCAAACCAAGAGATGTTGCCCATTTGAACTTGGTCAGATTCCGAGGGATTTAGTGTGTCTGTTTTCCCAACTATAAGTCTATGTGTTTGTGTCCATGTGAACCCGTCTGTTGTTGGAGGTAACCATGCCCTCACCTTCTCTCCCAGCTCTTCTTACCTGGCTGCTCTCTGCTGCTGTCAGATGCTTCATGGAACCCCAATCTCCACTGGCTTCTTGCTTGACACTGGATGATGGGAAAGTCACAGCTAGGGCTGAGGACTGAGGAGCCTTTTCTCACTGGAGGAGAACATTTAGAGTCAGACACTGTGGCTCTCCCAGGTCTGGCTTGGATGATTGGGAGCAAATGTATAGATCTTCCATCCCTGGAGATTGGGACTTTCATGGGGATCCGGGCAGGAATAGTTGTCAAGTTTGGGCCCCTAGGGTAGATCCCCCACAGTTCCATATTAGAGGCACACATACTAACTGTTCTTTGTTCCTATCTTCTCTCGACACAGATATCTTGACTTGAGGGGAACTTAGTTTAATGCTCAGACTTGTTGTGTCCCACTGCCTCAAGTACATCTCATGCCCATGTCACAGAATATAGCTGGTCCCCTGCTTTGTGCCCAGAATTAACCTGAAGAGAAATTGTGAAGCCAGTGAAACTGGCCCACAGAGATTCATAGCAGCTGCATTCTGTACACTTTACTCTTGCACTGACTCCCTTATGTGTAATCCTTCAGCCTTCAGGACCCTCACCCTTTCTTCTTTCAAATGCAAAGTTTGATTTGTTAATTTATACTAAGAAAGTAGTGACTAAGAACGAAACCTCAATTCTCCATTTTAAGCTCTGTAATAGTTACTGTATCCCTGACATGAGAAACTAGAGGCACCACCTAGGAATGCTGGCCTGTGGACAGGGGGTAGGGAATACTGGGTGTGGCATGTATGTGTCTGTGGTCATCTAAATACATGGTATCTACGGGGGCTATTGGAAGTTGGGTGTGTATTTCTAAGTGTCAATTTGTGTGTCATTTACAAAGCAAAATTTTTAAAAGATGAATTTTAAAAACCTACATTTGAAAGAAAGAAAAAATACAAATATGAAATCGGGCAAAGATGTGTTAGATAAAGGCAAAAATTAGAGAACAAAGGTGGCACTGTTAATTACAGACAAAGCAATGATTAAGTCACCCACAAGCACAAATCACAAAAGAGGAATATTTTATGATAATAAAGGAAAAGTTCATAGAACTTAATAACAGTTATGAAACATCAAGCACAAAACAATGTAACAATAGTTTATATAAGGCAAAGGCTCATAAAAATTTTTAAAGAGGTTTATTAAATTAATCTCGATAGATTTTAACATACACTTCCCAGAATTTGATAAAATAGTTAATAAAAAATATGGCAGAGATTTTGTTTAAACAATGAAGAAAT